AGCCCAGCCAGCAACCACAGCCCTCCAGCGGCAGGTGCCAATGAGGCTCTGTGCAACGGAGCCCACCCAGCGGTCCCAAAGAGGAAGAAGACCTGGAGCAGAAACATTTGTGCAGAACTGGTCACTCAAGTAATTCGTCAAGTGGCCACTTTTTTACTGGGCTGGTCGGAAAAATGGCCACTGGGAAGGAGCCGGCTTTGGGGAGTGGAAGACTGTAATCCTTGGCCTGAAGGGGAGGGGGTGCCAGTGACCACACGGCGGGACAAACACTGAAATCTGACCCACGCCATGATGGGTTGTCTGACTCTCCACCTTCCATTTCTAGGGAGGAGGAGGAGAAGAGATTGGATTTATACCCCGCCTTTCACTACCTAAAAGTTTCTCAGAGCAGTTTACAAACTCCTTTCCCTTCTCCTCCCCACAACAGACACCCTGTGAGGTAGGTGGGGCTGAGAGAGCTCTGACAGAAACTGCTCTTTTTTCAAGAACAGCTGTGCCAGAACTGTGGCTTGCCCAAGGTCATCCAGCAGCTGCAAGTGGAGGAGTGGGGAATCAAACCCAGTTCTCCCAGATTAGAGTCCGCGCACTTAACCACTGCACCAAACTGGCTCTCTTAAATTCCCTTTCCCCTTGCACCCTAGGCGCTGGTCTGAATCCGGCCCAACGGGCCTGCTACCGCCATTAAAAAAAAATTGGGAAGATACCCTGGTAGGTCTCGATGCTCTTCAGGCAACATAGAGACTGTGCTGTAGGACTGCCGAGGATTAGGCCGCCTTGCCCAGGAAGGGGAGCCTGACCCAGCAGAGACCACATTAACACCTTTATGATCTAAACCGACTGGCCAGATTTACTGCCGCAATAAACAATGTTTATGCCCTTTAAAAACACTTTGCTCTTGCATGGTGGTGGTGGGGAGGCAGGATATAGATTAGTTTAATAAAGAATTTTTTTTAAGGACTGCGTCATCCATTTCTGTCCGATAATTCTGCTGACTACATATAAACTATATTTTAAAAGAAACCCCTTCATTGTGTTTACTATAACGTTGACTACCGTTCAGTGTAACAGCTTATTAGCAATTCTTTTTTCAAGTTGTTAAAAACGTTTTTTTAAAAAAATAGGTGTCTTAGGATGAAAAGAATTATTGTTTGAGTAAAATTAAGGTACTCTACTTAACATTTCGTAATTGTACAAAGAACCAGCAACATCTGTGCACAAGTTATGGTTCTGTTAAGGTTGTAAAGTCAAAGAAGAAGGACGCTTGGGGCCCCTTATTCCAACATAAGCTTTCGTGCCCTAAAGCCCATTTCTTGAGAACTGGTAAGCATACCCCCTCTTGTTTCATTGATGTTTTGTAGGAAGCAAGGGGTCAAGGGAACCTCAGGGCCCATGAAACACAGAGAGAAAAGGGTGAAACGTATTTATGTAAAATTCAATCCTGATCATGAAAAATATAAAGACCGTTCACAAGTTAAAGAGCTGCAATTGTTAGGAAGTCCAAGGCGGGTCAGTCCTGACACAAAAGGATAAAAGGTACCCAAGTCTGACATTAAAAACTACAAAATTCAGACACAAGTGGAAAAACACTTCAGTCTAGTGAGACTCTCTGTTTCTGACCCTGGCGTTCTTTGAAATTCTTTTGTTGAAGAATTATGACTACTCCAATGTGGTTTATTTGAAGATTTCACACTACCTTCCTTCTCATGGGTTGAAACAGGGGTTGGGATTCTTATCTTGCTATGACTGCGATCATCATAACAAAACCTGGGACTTTCCACCTATTACAGGTGTTACCTTAGTATAACCACTGAAGATGTGCCATGAAAGTGACAGGGAACCAGAGCTCTCCACACCCACAAGAGCTCCTGTGTGCTCCCACAAGCATGCCCTCCAAGCTACAGGAGCCTCTGGCTCAGGCCATTTCATAAACACTAAGCAGGACCCTCTCAGTGCAGGCACGACGGCAGGTAAGCACCTCCACACCTACTCAAGACAACACACCTGCTGGATGGGTCCCTCTCCAGCTGCTGGGGAAGGCAACGGCTTCTGTCCTTGGCCTTGCTTTGGTGGTGGCAGCTTCTCCTTCCAAGAAGCCAGGAAAACCGAGACAAAGACACCAGGTCACTCAAGGGTTTAAGAAACCAGGAACGCATGCTGACATGCACACGGGCAGTCCCAACTCACACAGCATTCAATGTGTTGCGTGGAAAAGAGTGCAAGTCAGTCGCAGGCAGACATCACATTAGTAGAGCAGGGGGCTGCCGGGGAAATGCCAGTGCTCATTCCAAACGTACCTTTTCCTCTCCAGGGACACCTGGAGCAGTATCTGGAGAGGCAGCATACAAATGTACTAAATTAATTGTTATTCTGGAGTGGGGCAGGGAGAGAATGGTCTGGCGAGTTTGAAAAAGAAGCCTCAGCACTGGACGTCCATCGCCTCAACCGAAGGCCTGGCAGAACAGCTCCATTTTGCAGGCCCTGCGGGGCCCTGCTCTCAAGTGGGAGCTCGTTCCACCAGGCAGGGGCCAGGACCAAAAAAGCCCTGGCCCTGGTCAAGGCTAGACAGACACATCCTTTGGGCCAGGGGTCATCAGGAGATGGCTCTCAAAGGAGCATTAAAGTGGTACTGTAAAAAACACACACACACCCCAAACAGCTAGCATGAGGGAGAGGCAACTCTGACAGCCCAGCCAGCATTTGGTCTGCTGACCTGCATGCAAGTGTCACTTCAGGTGTGAAGATGGGAGGCCCACCAGTGTTCCCTCTAAGCTGAGTTAGTGTGAGCTAACTCACAGTTTTTTAGCCTCCGGCTCACACATTTTTTTTTGTCTTAGCTTAGGAAGGACGGCTGCAGAGCAAACTCATTTATGCAGCGGCCAAATCGCTCGCTCACAACTTTAAGGCCAGTAGCTCACAAAGTAGAATTTTGGCTCACAGGACTCCGCAGCTTAGAGGGAACGTTGGCACCCTCCTTCTGTATTGAGTCTATCTTCACCCCTAAGGAAGCAAGCATTTAATACTCAAGAGTTGAAACACTCTGCGGCGTTTCAACTCTGGGACACTGCAAGAGAAGACCAAATAGAGACCCTTGAAGTCTTGGACTTCAAAACTTCAAAAGAAAGATGGCAAAAAGCAGTGGTGGGGGACACCGTCCAACACTTTCCCCATGCCATGTTCCTTAGAAGAAGGCTTGAGCTCCAGTCCTCACTCCAAGGCTATCCTGGCCAGACACAAGAACTCGGGGGCAGGGGGACATTCTGCTCACAATCTGTGCCACAGGGAAATCTGCCAAAGCTGTTGCTTTTCTCCAAGTCTCAAGACTGTTTTCTTCTACTGAGGCCTGTAAGTTTTCTATTGACCTGAATAAATGTCCTAAATCATAGGCTTCAACAATTGCTTTGGGTGGCTTTTTTAAAAAAACTTCTAGTTTACCCATCTGTTGAAGAGTCTATTTCAGCAACTGGAAAACCTGGGGAACAAAAGTCCCAACCCAGAATGGATGACGTTTCTTTAGGTTTCCCTTGCTTGAAAGCCAGTCGAGTCCGACTCTAGGGTTGCAGTGCTCAGCTCTGTTTCCAAGCCGAAGAGCCAGCGCTGTCCAAAGACTTCTCCGTGGTCATGTGGCCGGCATGACTAAACGCCGAGGCGCACGGAGCGCTGTTACCTTCCCACCGAAACGGTACCTATTTATCTACTTGCAATTTCTTGCTTTCGAACTGCTAGGTTGGCAGGAGCTGGAACCAGAGACAGGAGCTCACTCCGTCATGCGGCACTCGGGTCTCGAACTGCTGAACTACCGACCTTCCACAGCCTGCAGTTCAGCGTCTTAACCGCTTGAGCCACTGCAGTCTGTTTTAAAGCTGCAAAGGACAAGGAAGGACTGAAAGATCCTCTCCCAACCCGGACTACTCTTCTGAGATTTTATCTGGATCTGTTTGCTCACATTCAAGCTCATCTTTGCAGCTGGGAAGCCGAGAAACATTACAGAAGATAAAACTACTCAGAAAGCCAAATTCTGCCCCCCAGTCATAAATTCCACAACAGCCCACTCAGCTCTCCTTGCAGCTCGAACCCCACAGACCGCTCAGGGGGCAGGCCGGCCTTTGCCCTGGGAGAGTCACGCGACTCCCAGCGAACGGGGCTTGGGCACTGTCGGGTTAGCAGCACACGCCATGCATTGGGAGCCAAACCCCAAGACTTCGCTGACCAAAACAGCGCCACCATCGAGGCGAAGGCTTAAAAACGGGAAGAACAAAACACCACCACGGCACACTTGGGGCGCGACGCCGGTCGGCTGGCCACATGCAGACGCAGTGCGGTGCGCTCATGCACTGGTGTACCTTTTCCTTGTCCTCAGCGCTCGCCTTCTGCGCGGCCGGCTTGGCTGGCACAACAGGAGAGCCCTTTGCTTCCTGAGCTGCCTTTGCGGCTGTGGCCGCCTTCTCGGCAAGGGGTGGCGTCTTCTCCGTCTCGCGGGGCTTCTCTCCCTCTTTCTTGTCGGACAGCCTGGAGCGCGGGCGGTGGTCCTTGGTCCTGCCTCTCGTCATCAGGCTCTTCAGCCCCACCGAGATCTCGTCCTTCGGGGCTGCCTGCTTGGGTTCGGACTTCAAGGCCGGCAGCTGCCGAGGGGGTGGGGAGAGTACCCTTGGAGCTGGGGAGAGTACCTTGGGCGGTGGGGACAGTACCCTGGGGGGTGGCTTCTCCTCCTTGGCTGGCTCTGGGGACTTGATCTCTCTCGATGGCTCCTTGGACTCTTCCCCCGGCAGCACCTTACGCACAACTTTGCGCACCACCCTGACCACTCTTTTCCGCGAGAGGCCCTGGGTGTCGTCGGCAGGCGGCTCGGGCGGAGCCAGTGAGCCGCCTCCTCGGGAGCCCTCCAGGCCGTTCATGGCTTGGCCAAGGGCGCAGGAGTCCTGGGCCTCCCCGTTCAGCAGCGGCTCTGGGCTCTTCACCCTCCCGGGACCTTCGGGAGGCACTGGGCTTCGGGGCTCTTCCTTCCCTGCGCTCGGGGCATCCGGCTACAGTCACAGATACACAAAGGCATTACAAGAAGGGCACGCCTCAACAGTATTAAGTCAGGGCCTGAAGAGGCAGCTACCGGCCACGCACGGGCGCCTGCTGACACCGCCCAACCGGAGGGCCAACCCAGTCCTACCATCACACGACGAACCTGAAGCCACCTGTTCCTGCCCTCCCAGTGGAGAATTCAGTAGGATTTGTGCTCAACGCACAGAGTTAGTTTGGCTCTAGACACGCAAGCAGGCCAGGACAAGCCTGTGCTGGTTCAGAGGCGGGAAAGAGGCAAAGAGAATGACAGCAAGCCAGCCTTCAGGCGAGGAGAGGGCAGCACAAGCGGCCCCCCGGCCTACCTCCTCCTCCCTCTTGCTGATCGCCTAAATGCCAGCCAGACTTTGGTGATGGAGGTCAGCCTCCAAGACCAACCAACCAACCCCCCCCCCCCCAACAGGCCACTCGCATTTTTTTCAAAGCCAAGCCGCCGCCACTGCCTCTACAAGTGAGGACCAAGGACTGAAAGAGGCAGCGAGCAGGATCTCAAATCAGCAAGGGCAGCAAAGCAATACCCTCTAGACCAGGGGTGTCGAACTCATTTGTTATGAGGGCCGGATCTGACATAAATGAGACCTTGTTGGGCCGGGCCATGTGTGTCATAAAATGTAATGCCAGGTAGCGGAGATATAAATTTTATAAAGGACACTAACACAAAGGTGTGGGTTTTTTTACTTAAAATAAAAACATGCTTAAAACATTAGCACTCTTGCAATATTTTCTTTATTTAACAGTGTCTGATAACTGACACCTCTTGCTCTGAATGAATGCATCAAAATGTCTGTGCTGTTGCAATCTTGAGTATGCTGTTCAAGTGTGTATCTGTAAGCTGCAAACCTACGATGACGCAGCAGCAGCAGCAGAACTGGAAGAAGCAGCAGAAGACAGCCAGTTCCATTGCGGGCCTGATAGAAGCCCTCCGGGGGCCTCATCCGGCCCCCGGGCCACATGTTTGACGCCCCTGCTCTAGACACTTCCAGACT